CCCCGCCCCGCGCCGGGGCAGTTTTGCTCTGCTCGGGCCCGACGCCGGACGTTTCTCGGATCCTTTGCCGGCGCCGGCTCTGCAGCTGGAAGTGCTGCGCAGACCCTTCCCGCCGCGGGGCTCCCTTTCCTGACGCTCCCCGGTGCAGACCCCCCGGGCCCTTCCTGAGCTGGCTTTTCCCTGGTCGGGGGCGGGGGCACGGACACGCGGCAGTCTGTCCCAAGCAGAGGAAGAGAAAACTCAGACTTTCTTGCGGGAGCTGCGTGGCTCAGCGCCCACCCGCGCCTGCCCCCGCGTCCTGCCCCAGCCTGCGCCTGCGCCTGGCGAGGAGAAGCAGGGCAGGGAGAGCCGCCTTGGAAGCAGGGAGCTGTTTATTATCCCCAAGGGAGATCTGGACTCAGGCCTGAGGACAGACCGGCCCTTCCCGCCCCTGTTTCCTGCTTTGTGTCAAACCCTGCCCCTCCTCCTCCTCCTCCCCCTCCCCCACAATACCAGCTCTGCCAAGGAAACCGCGCTAGTTTTACCTGTGACATCAGGTCCAAGGCGTCTCACCCAGGTGTGCAGGCGCAGCCTCCTCGCGCCTCCAGCTCGGCCGTCTCCCCCTGGCCAGGCACACCCCGCGTGTGGACGCAGGGTCGAGGACCCCCTGCCCCACTCCCCTAACCCGTGTCTTCTGAGCGCCCAGCAGGGACCAGTGGAGGAGCCAGGCCCAGTGCTCAGCTGTGGGCCGGGATGGGCGTCCCTGACACCGGTACGGCTCACAAGAAACCTGGCAGAGCCCAGCGCTTTGCTGAGAGAAAAGAGCAGCTGCCGGCGGGATGCAGCAGCACATCGTCACTGAAGCCCGGGCGGGAGGAGGGAACCAGGTCACACACGCGGGCAGGGGGCAGCAGGCGGCATCCCACCAGAGAGGGGATCATTCAGTTTCCAGCAGAGGAGAGGGGCTCCAGCTGGTCCGAGCTGCCCGCTGCACAGGAGAGGCCAGTCGCCCCTCTCGCTCCAGTTCGTGGGTCCGGGTCTCGTTGCCGTCGCACTGCTCCCCCATCTCTGTCCTGCCTGTAGAGGGGGCCAAGCCCTCCACTGCACCAGTCCAGGGAGGCTCCAGGCCTTGAGCGGGGAGTAAATGTGCTGGGACAGGCCTTGGACGTGCCTCACAGCAGAGAGCCCTGGGGAGGAAGCCCCGGAGCATGGCTGCTGTCTGCCCACATCAAGAGAGGGCTGGAAAAGGGGTGTTGGCCCTGCAGCTCTAAGAGGGCAACGGGGGCTAGCAGGTGAGGCCAAGGAGGCCATAGATCAGTAGAGCACAGTTGAGAAACACCTTCCCCAGGGAACCCGGGTGTCTGAGCTCCCAGCCCCCTTGCTTCCACCTCCAGGCCCCGGGAGAATCCAGGCTCCCAGCCCCTGCACCGACCCCTCCTCTCTGCCTCCCCGACTGGAGCCACCCGTGACCCTGCTCTGCCAGCCCCAAGCTCTGCAGCCTCTTGCAGTCCCTGGCGCACCACCTGCTGCTGTTCTGGGAGCCTCTGCAATGCACAGCCCCTGCCAGGATCCCCTGCTCCTGCCCTCTCCCCTGAGCTCCTGCTGCTGCTGAGGGGGGCTGGATCTGAGTAGGGGGTGGGGAACAAAGGGGTCCGGGCTGGGTCCCACTGGAGCCCATTTAATGCTCAGGGGACCCAGGTGTACCACACACACACACACACACAGCTGTATAAAAGGCACCCAAATTCATGCAGCTGGTGGGGGTGGGGGGTACCTGGTTGCCATGACAATGTGCCCCCAACCCCAGTGTCTAGCGGCCCCAGCCCTTCCCCCTCTGTCTGTGGGCTGCAGCCCCTGAGTGGCCACCAGGGGGCAGCACCCACCATGATACCTATATCAGCCCCCCCTCCCTCACTTGCAAGTTGCCCCAACCAAGACAACAGATCCTTCAAAATACCCCTGGGAGGAGCTACTTCAAGTTCCTGCCTCATAAATACCCCTGCTCTGTCCTGCCGGCTGCCTGTGCAGTGGATTCCTCCCCCTAACTACTAATTTGCTCCTTAGTATGCTGGGCATCCAGCCCCTCCCCTTGCTAATAAACCTCTGTGGCCAGCATAGCGGGGTGCGGTAGCAGGGGTGTCCAGCAGTGGGGTGGTGCCCTTGGAGGACCTCCTCCTGCCTATTGAGTGCCCCCTTACTAGAAGCCCCTGTTGTTGGCACTGTGGTGCACATCCCCTATGGAAACCCTCTTGCAAGTAACAGAGGGAATGATGGGTGGGGGGATCTCTGGGAATCCAGTGGATCTCTAGGTCTAGATCCCTGCCAGAACAACAGGGCACCTGGTTGGTGGGGCTCAGGATTGGGGTCTTCCAACCCCATTCCTGGCATGAGGCACTGGGTGTACCTCTGAGATCCAATGCCTTTTCTCTGTGCCAAGCTCTGGACAAAGCCCATCATGTCTGCCAACTATGTAATTCATTAATTACGAATCACCAATGAAGTGATCCTGATTCTGCGGGAAAAGATCATTCCTAAAAATTCGAAAGAAAAATTGTCGGTCGTCAGTGGCTGGCTCAGAGAAAGCTAAGCTTGTGGTGCTCTGAATAAACGTGTCAGACCATCAATCAGTCAGGAGCCTAGAGTTTGTTCCAAAAGTCACAATGTATTTGACCCATGAGTTATTTCAAGCAAACAGGTATTGGCAATTAAAATGTTATTATTGCCTTGGCTGTTGTTTTGTTGTCGTCATAATATGCTTGCTGTTAGCAGTAATAACAACAATAACAACAAACCATGAGCATTAATAAGAACAAAACACCACCACAATAATAACAACAATAATAAAATCAATAGAAGAATGACTGATAATTTATTAAACTGAGGCAGGAAGGAGTTTGCTAGCAAAGGGGGGGAGAGAACCCACATCCAGGCCCCCATCTCCCCGCCCCGAGGCCCCACCACCTCCCAGAGCTGGAAAGGACCTGGGAGTTGGAGCTCCCAGCAGTCCCGCCTCTCGCTCCCAACCCCACTTCTCTTCCAGAGAGCCCAGGCATCCAGCTCACAGCTCCTCCCACGCTGGCTTTCCTGGGACAAAGACTTCCTCCGCCCCAGCGGGATCAGTTTGCCAGGGCTGTGACTCTACAAAGTCTCCCTCACTGCAGCCAGGATGTGGCAGGGCTCGTGGCCAATACCAGCCCTGGGTGCAGGGGACTGGACCTTGCTGCTGCCCCCTGGGGAGTGGGGACCTGTGGTGCTGCCCCCTGGCCCCTTTTGGGGTGCAAAGGTAGGGGTGTACTGGAGTAACACAGGACAGGAGGGTGGGAGGAGGGAACTGAGGCAGGGGGAGGTCTTGGTGGGGTGGATCGGGGGGAGGCTGGATCTGGGGGTGACCCCAGGTGTTGGATCTGGGTTGGGGAGCATGGAGGCAGTCTAAATGGGGTTTGGCCAGGGATTACCCTGGATTAAGGGAAGAGACACTTGGGGGCAGGATGCAGCTACTGGGGTTCCTTCCAGCTCCCTGAGGTGGGACAGAGCAGGAAACCCCAGGACACCCTGTGGGGTGGAGGACATGGCAGGGAGGAGTCAGAGCCTGGAGCTGGTGACTTTTCCTTCTGAAGGACAGTGGAGGTGGGGAGAGCAGATCCGGACGGACATCGGATTGTTACCGCCACACTCAGGGGCAGGGAAGGTGTGGGGCAGCCTAGGCTGGCCACGGATCCTGGCTCCCCTCCATCTACCCCCCACACCCCAGATCTGCTCCCTGGGGTGGCCAATAAAAAGACCAAGGAGACACACGAAGGGGCTGTTGCATCAGTCCAGCCCACATGACAACATGGCTGCTGTTTCATAACCAGGCCTTGGAGAACCTGATTCCAGCCTTGTGTTGATTCTGGTGGAGGCGATCCAGGAGCAGAGCAGGGCGGCCTGGCCCCACAGGGAAAGGGGTCACAGCCTGGCCCACCCTGGCCTGGTCAGGCCCCAAATGGCCACACAGGGCTTGGGATTTGGGAATTTGGTGCGTGAGGCTGTGACCATATGAATTACCACTGCTCCACTGCCACAAACTTCTCTGACTCCGTGGGCTAGATGCAATGGCTCCACTGGCCTCATTTGGCCCTTGGGCCGGAGCTTGAGCATCCCGGTATAGCGGGTTGGCTCTTTTTTATAGCTGGGTGACCATTTTTATGGCAGGGTAATTACTTTGGACATGCAACTTTATCTACATTTATTGTGCCGATCAGTTAATTGTAATTGTGTAATATATGTAATGGGGAGCAGGGGTCTTCAGCATAGAAACCATTTCAGGACTGCACTTAGTGTGCTCCCGGGGAACTCCTGGTCCATGGGGCAGTTCATAAAGAGCTTCAACCTTCATAAAGGTTGTTTGTTAATAAAGTTCCCCATGAACTTTGGCCTTTGTAGGTGCAAAACAGATCCATCATT